AAGAAATTATACAGTTCTCCTCAATCTCTTCAGAGGAAAGAAGCAGAGGGAATACTTCCTAACTCATTCCATGAACCAGAATTACTCTAATATCAAAACCAGACAAAGACATTACAAGAAAAGAAAACTACAGATTAATACCTTTCATGAACATGAATGCAAAAATCCTCAGCAGCATATTAGCAAATTGAATCCAACAATGCATAAAAGGTATTATACATTAAGACCCAGTGGGATTTATCCCAGGTATGCAAAGGTGGTTCCACATTAGAAAATCAGTTAACATCATCCATCACATCAACAAGCTAAAAGAGAAAAGTCACATGATGCAGAAAAAACATTTGACAAAATCCAATACCAATTCATGATAAAAACTCTTAGAAAGCTAGAAATAGATGGCAACTTCCTCAAGCTGATAAAGGATATCTACAAAAAATCTTTATTTAACATCACATTTCATGATGAGAAACGTGAAGATTTTCCTCTGAGAGCAGGAACAAGGCAAAGATGTCCCCTCTCACCACTCCTTTTCACATCACACTGGAGGTACTAGCTAATGAAGTAAGAGAAAGAAATAAAATGTACACAGGTTAGGGAGGAAGAAATAAAACTGTATGTGTTTGTAATGACACAATTACCTATGTAGAAAACATGAAAGAATTGACCAAAAAAACACACAACCCCCCCCCCCAAAAAAAAACACAACCCTTCAGAAACCAAGAAGTGATTATGACAAGGTTGTGGCAGACAAGGTTAATATACAAAACTCAACCACTTTCCTATATATCAGCAATGAATAAGTGAATCTGAAATTAAAAACACAACATATAGCACCCCCAACAATGAAATACAAAGGTTCTTCAAAAAGTTCATGGAAAAATTTGTATTATCTTCTAATTCCATTTTTCTATGAACTTTTTGAAGTACCCTCATACTTAGGTATAATCTAACAAAATATGTACAAGATTTATATGAGGAAAACAACAAATCTCTGATGAATGAACTCGAACTAAATAGATGGAGAGATATTACATGTTCACAGATAGGAAGACTCAATATTGTCAAGATGTCAGTTCTTCCCAACTTTATCTATACATTCAATGCAATCCCAATCAAAATCCCAGCATGTTATTTTATGGATATCAACAAATTGATTCTAAATTTCATACAAAGAGGCAAGAGACAGAATAGCCAAGATAGCATTGAAGGAGAAGAGCAAAACTGGAGGACCGACACTACCCAACTTTTTAAGACTTACTTTAATGCAATAGTAATCAAGACATTGTGGTACTGGCCAAAGCATAGACAAATAAATCCATGGAACAGAATATCCAGCCCAGAAATAAATCCACATAAATATAGTCAAGTGATCTTTGACATAGGAGCAAAGGCAATACAATGGAGCAAAGATAGTCTTTTCAACAACTGTGCAGGAACAACTGTACATCCACAGGCAAAAAATGAATCTAGACACTGATCTTACACTCTTCACTAAAATTAACTCAAAATGTATCATACACCTAAATGTAAAATGCAAAACTATAAAACTCTTAGAAGATAACATAGGAGAAAACCTAGGTAATCTTGGGTTTGGTGATAACTTTTTAGATACAACAGCAAAGGCAAAATTTATGAGTGGATATGGAAAATGTGTTATATTTACACAATAGAATACTACTCTGCTATAAAAAAGAATGAAATTCTACCATTCGCAGCAACATAGATGGACATAGAAAAAATATATTAAGTGAAATAAGTCACACACAGAAAGAGAAATACCACATGTTCTCGCTTATTTGTGGGAGCTATAAATAAATAAATAAATATACAAACAAATGGGGGGAAGGGAAGAAGACACAACAATCACAATTCCTTGCACTTGTTAAGACAAGCAAACAAGATATGTTGGTGGGTGGGATCAGGGAGAGAGGGAAGGAGGATTCAGTAAAGGGACACGAAAATCAACTACATCGTATATATAAAATATATATAAAATAAAATAAAATAAATAATTGATAAGCTGGATTTCACTAAAATTAAAAACTTCTGCTCTGTGAAAGACAATGTCAAGAAATTGAGAAGATACAGACAGAGAAAATAAAACACATTTGATAAAAGACTGTTATCCATAATATAAATAAAACTCTTAAAACTCAACAATAAGAAAATAAACAACCCAATTATAAAATGGGCCTAAGACCTCACCTTTACAGACACTTCACCAAAGAAGATATACAGATGACAAATGTGCATATGAAAAGATGTTCAACCTCATATGTATGTCATCAGGAAAATGCAAATTAAAACATCAGTGAAATACCACTACACACAAATTAGTATGACCAAAGTCCAGAACACTGACAACATCAAATGCTGGTGGGGATGTTGGAGCAACAGGAACTCTCATTCAACAGGAAATCTCATTCATTGTTGGTAGGAATGCAAAATGGCACGGACAGTTGGTGTTTTCTTACAAAACTAAACACACACTTACCATACAATCCAGCAATTGTGCTCCTTGGCATTTACCCAAAGGAGTTGAAAACTTATGTCCACACAAAAACCTGCACATGGATGTTTATAGCAGCTTTATTGATAATTGCCAAAACTTGGAAGCAACCAACATGTCCTTCAGTAGGTGAATTAATAAATAAACTGTGGTGTATCCAGACAATGGAATATTATTGAGCACTAAAAAGAAATGAGCTATCAAGCCATGAAAAGACATAGAGGAACCTTAAATGCATATTACTAAGCGAAAGAAGCCTGTCTAAAAGGCTACATACTGTATAATTCCAACTATATGACATTCTGGAAAAGGCAAGACTAGGGAGACAATAAAAAGGTCAATGGTTGCCAGGGGTAGAAAGAGGGGAAGGGATGAATAGGTAGAGCACAGAGGATTTTTAGGACAGTGAAAATAGTTTGTATGATACTATGATGATGAGTACATGTCATTACACATTTGTCCAAACCCATAGATTGTACAACACCAACAGTAAGCCCTACTGTAAACTATGGACATTGGGTGATAATGATGTGTCCATGCATGTTCATCAATTGTAACAAATGTACCACTTTTGTGGAGGATGTTGACAATGGGAGAGGCTATGGATGTATGGGGGCAGGGAGGTATATACGCACCTGTGTATCCTTTCTCTTAATTTTGCTATGAACCTAAAATTGCTCTAAATAAATAATGTCTTAAAAACACACATGCACAGAAACTACTACTTCTGGCATAGTTAATTTTCAAGACATCTGCCTTGCAAAGTAGAAAAATTGAATGAAAAAGTGAAACAGTTTAAAAGGATTATGAGTGATTATAACCGATACTCTGAATTTGACAGATAGTCTGCATTTGGAAAGAAATCTCTTCATATATGTGACAAAGCTTCAACAGATTTCCAGGTGTACTGACTTTATACTATATACTTAAAATGTCAGTTAAGGGTGACAGGGGAGTATTCATTCTGTATATGTATACATGCAATTCTCATCTGAGATGCCTTAAGAACAATTTTTCAGAAAATATATTATTTGATCTGGTAGTCATTAAATTATTTGATAAACTATTGGTTGAAGCATTTATTCTCTGTTGAAAGTATTTTTAATAATGGAGTTTTAAAACAAAAAGGCCATAAATAAAAGAAAAATACTTTAAAAAGTTAATATATGTTTAAATATTATTTATCATGACTCTTATGTACATCGTTTACTAAATTGATGAGGCATGAAAAGAAACTACGTATATCATAATTTCAGAAACTGCAATACCATAATCCTGATTTTGATGTTTATAAAAAGAATATGGAGATCACTTCAAATTTCTAATAGTGACAGAATTCAAAGAGTGATAAATACATTATTGCAATGTATTATATCATGAAAAATCTGTTTCAAAATTACATTGAATTTCAAAATAGCAAAATATAGGATATTGCACAGCAATCTTTTCTCTTCAATGGATTGTTAAATGACTCACTAGATAGTTTCTGATAGGCAAAAAAAAGTAATAATAATAATAATGTGAAGACAGGAAAGTGGGTTTTTAAAAAATAATGTTGAAACATATAGAACCCAGGGTTAAGTACTTTGAATTGGGTAGGCTTTCTAAACACTATTCTGTAATAGAAAAAATTACTTTCGAGAGTATTAACCCAAATAATGAAAGAACCTATAAAATTGTTTTTTGCAAAAGGTACAACTTGTTTGATAGAATGGGAAAAGTAAGTATTTTTGCCATCCTGACAATAGAAAATAAAAGAATTGAGACTGCCAAAAACAGCATCAAGATGAAAGGCTTTAATCACCTGAAGGGAAATATTTTGGATGAAGAAAACCTGATGTTGCCAGATATTCAGAAAAGAGAAGAAATGACAAAAGAATAGAATACAAAGAGAAAACTACTTCTAGTGATCTCTGAGAAAGAGACCATGGGAAATATTTTTCAAAATCACATTATTGAGGTTTAATTCGTAAAACATAAAACATGAAAAAATGTTTTTACAGTCTTAGTAAATTAATGTGCTGTTCACCCTCAGTACAATAAGAAAGCAAAAAGTTACCGAGTTTTTAAAATGTAGCAGTGCATGATTCTTAATCAATATATAAACAACGAAAAATTTTTCAGAAAATATATATAAATATTTGACATATTTTTGTATGTTAGTGATGTCAAAAAGATTTCATCTTTTTTTCACAATGTTTGTGCAGTATAAAGAATTTTAATTGTGTAACCCCTTCACCAATTTATTGTAAAATGCTTACTATTTCTATTTACTTTCCTGAAATCTTTCAAGAATATTCAATCTAATAAGTGGAATAGGTGCTCCAGCAAATGGAATTATTTGGGGGTTTAAATTGCCATTGGTTTCTGTAAGGTTGCTGTGGGGCGTGGAGAGGTCAGTTATTTCTTTTATTTATTTATTTGTTTTTATGATAATGATGATGAATTACACTCCCTTTCTAATACTATAAAATAATTCTAAAATTCTTACCTGATACTACACCAATTCCATCATCACAGTCATAGTCAGAGACTTCACTATCACTTATTCTCTTTGACCCTATAAAGTAAACAATAGCAATAATTAAAATTCATAACTATTTAAGGGGAAAAAAGTCCTCAATAACCTGAAAAACAAATGAAAGAATTTTGAATGAAACTCTTGAGAATAAAAAAAGAAGGAAAGTCATTATGAGGTCACCAACACTTTCACACACATTTCATAATGTAAGGATACAAATAACAAGGAGTTAACAGTTTACACGGAATTATTCTGCAAATGTAGAAGATAAAGTTTCTAAATGGTTTAAAGCTTGAAATAATATTAAGTACTAAATAATATGTGTAAATTATTTGATGCTGGTTGATAAAATCTATTGGAAAACAGATAAGCTAATTCTAGATGCTTCTGGACAAAGTCACTTAAGTTTAGGTAAATTTCAAAACAAAAATTATGTGTTATTTTCAAAAGGGTTAATGTGATTTTTTACAATATGCGTGACTAAGAAATTGAATATACCAAATTATTTTTCATGCTCATGGAGAGGAAACATAAGAAATAAACTCACTTAAGACATTTTAACCTCCTTTTTTTCTTTACTATTTAGTTTAGCTGTTTCTCCATTGCTTTGAGAAGACAATAAGAAATAAATCACCCACAAAATCGATTAATACATCTAAATGGTGAAGTGTGTTATGTTTTCTAGGAAACAGTCTAAGAAGAGCACTGATATTATTGTAATTGAAGAGTACCATGTGTTTAAATCTATATTTGCAATCCAATATTTGCAATCTACTCTTAGAAATACACTGTAATTTTTTTTTCCTTTTGTTTTTTGTTTACCTGTTTGTTTTAATCCCTGCTCTTTTGGGGGAGGGAGAGTCTCTGTTGCCAGGAAATGTAGTCCTCATTTTCTTCTTCTTTTTTTTTTTTTTTCTCTTTTTCGTGACCAGTAAGGGGATCGCAACCCTTGGTGTGGTGTCGCCTGCACCGTGCTCCGCCAGTGAGCACACCGGCCATTCCTACATAGGATCCGAACCCGCGGCGGGCGTGTCGCTGCGCTTCCAGTGCTGCACTCTCCCGAATGCACCACGGGGTCGGCCCCTCATTTTCTTCTTTTAATGATTCAGAAGAAGACAACTATCTGTTTTTATCATGTGGTCCCACTGACTGAACTATTACTATTTTCTTTCCAAATGCTTATGTAATAAAGCTTTAGATATTACTGTTTTCCTTCTACAATCTTACATCACAAAGATTTAGACACCATCAAATCTGAGGCGTTCGAGCCATAATTGATATGAAAATTGAATTATCTAACAACATCCCAGGAGACTGAGCACAAAAAGACTTACAGAATTAGGACATACATTCTAAATGAAGTTGAGATAGAAGAGGGATCACACAGATGGGGCTACTGAGGAGAGACTTAAGAAGAATTGCTACCCAGCTTATAACATTTCATTTCGTAAATGCTTAAGGACAAAGTAATGATTAGTGTAGGTTGCCAGGTACACAACAGAACATAAAGATTACAAGCTTTTGGTATTGGTCAAGAACCAGATCAAGAAAGACACCAGCAAAAGGTAAAGTTCATTTGATCAGACTTGGTGAGCTGTCCTGTGTGTGTATGTGGGGCCAGGTGGTATACATGGTTTGTAAATACTACTTTTCAAAACTTAGTGATTTCTTTCCAGAGTGAGATTTTATGTTATGATATTAATCCTATAGAAGTTAAATATATTGCAATTATGTTCTTTAATTGCATTTGTCTTTTGGCATTCTGATAAATTCAATTCTTAGGTTTAACGTCATTAATATATCAATCTTTTCTTTTAAAATCAGTGTTATCAGTGTCTTAAGAAATCTTTCTTGACCTTATGAGCAGAGAGATAGTGTCCTATATTTTCTTCTGGAAGTTTAAAAATTTTTCTTTTTGCATTTACATCCTCATCCATCTTGAATTAAATTCATGTATAGTGTGAGATATGGATGCAATTTCACTTTTTCCATATGGATAGCACACATCTCAGTACTGTTTATTTAATATTTCCATCTTTTCCCAATGGTTTGTGATGTCATCATTGCCACCTACCTACTAGGCTCTCTCTGGTGCTCTATTTTTCTCTTGTACAGGTTATCTATCGATAACCCAGTAGCTCACTCTCTTTGTTACTATAGAATTATATGAGTATTTTGAAGAGCAAATCCATCTACTTTTTTATTTGTATCTTGGATCTTAGCCCAATAATCTTCTATATAAATTTTAGATTCAGGCTATCAAATTGCACAAAAACATCCCATTGGGATTTTTGAAATGATATGTACTGAATCGATACTTTTTAAAAATTTTTTTAGTTCAGTAGCCACACTGCCTGTCTATTTTTATTTATTTATTTATTACAATATATTAATTTAGGGAGGATTGGCATGTTTTATAGCTTTTTTTTTTTACTAGCCATGTACATAGCATTTTCTCCATTTAAGTTTTCTTTAAGGTCTTTCCATAAAATTTTAATTTTGGCCACTCAAAATTTTCATTTTTGTTGGATTTATTCTCTGTATGTTATAATTTCTATTGTGATTAGAAATATTGTTAAAAATTATGTTTTTTAACTTAATTGTTCAGATACAGGAATACAATTTCATCATAAAATAATGTTAACCAAATGCCTTAGTAAAGTCTTTCTGTCTCTCTTTTTACTTCCACTATAGTGTGTTTTACTTGGATTTTTCTACATAGACAATCTTTTTGCCCAATCCTTATGCTTTTTTCTTTCTTTTCCTTGCTTTTCTATGCTAATAAGTACAATACTGGAGAGAAACAGAGAAATTTTACATCCTTTTAAAACTGTGACTTTAAATATAGTTTTTCTCTTATTTCCCCATTAGAATTGATATCTGATGAAGTTACACTTTATCAGGCTGAAGAAGGTCTTTATATTACTAACTTGCAAAGAGTGGGATTTAATTTTCATTAAATGTGTTTTCTGCATCTACTGAGAAAAAAGAGATGAACAAATTTTTTATAATTTAATTTACTAATTTGGTAAATTATATATATATTCTGCTAGATAGCAAGAAGAAACACGATAATGTAAATTACAAGACTTAAGGAAGTTATAAAAAACTTATTATGAATAATAAGTTAAATTAGCAAGATTGCAGGATACACAGTCAGTACAAAAAACAACTGTGTTTCTTAGAGAATAGCAACAAACAATAGAAAAATTAATTTTAAACTCAGTATCATTTATAAGAATGTCCAAAATCATGAAATACTTAGGAATACATTTAATACAAAGTGTACCAAACATGTATACCTGAAACCACAAAATACTGCTATATTAGTTTGCTAGGACTGTTGTAACAAAGTACCAAAAACTGGGTAGCTTAAAACAACAGAAATTTATTGTTTCACAATTCTGGACACTAGAAGTTCAAAATCAAGTTGCTGGCAGGTTCATGCTCTGTCTGATGCCTCTAGGAGAGAATGCTTCCTTGTCTCTTCTGACTTCCAGTGTTTGCCAGCAATCTTTGGTGTGCCTTCACTTGTAGATACTTACTCCAGTCACATGGCTATCTTCTCTGTTTATGTCTTTATATTGTCTTCCCACTGTACGTGTCTTTTGCTATGTCCAACTTTCCTCTTTTCATAAGGACACCAGTCATATTGAATTAGAGCCCACCCTAATGAATTCATTTTCACTTGGCTACCTCTGTAAAGACCGTAATTAAAAATAAGGCCAAATCCTGAGGAACCGGAGGTCGAACTTCAACATATCTTTTTGGGGGAACACAACTCAACTAAACTGCTAATAAATTAAAAGTTTAAATAAATCGAGAGACTTTTCTGCAAAACTGGAAGCCAGAGATATTAGAATAACATTGTCAGGCTGCTGAGAGAAAATAAAAGTCATTCTAGGATTTATACACAGTTAAGTTTTCCATTAGGATTGAAGAAACAAAGACATTCAGAAAAACAAAGCCTTTTTCCAATTCTACACTAAAAGAACTTCTAAAAAAGTATTTCAGAAATAAAGAAATTTATCCTAGAAGGAAGTGATGCAATGCAAAAAGAAAGTAGTAAAAATACAAGTAAACCTAAGCAAACTCTGAATAAATAAAATGACAATGTTTATAATAATGACTAATTTGGAGGCAGAGGTAAAATTCTGGCAGTAATATATTAGATGGTGGGAGAGGGTATAAATCAGACTGTAAAATTTTTGTCTGGTTTGGAAGAAAAGTTAGAGACATTAATTAACATTACTTTGTTAGCTGTGAATGTTAAAATTTCAAAAGTAACCACTAAAAAAGAGATTAAAAACAAAAAGCAGAGTGCATAAAATGATATGTCCCTATTTATGTTAGGATGAAAAAAAGAAAATGATACACATTTTCTATACACATTTGTCTGTGTGTGCAAAAATACAGAAATTGGTAACGGTAGTGCATGCACAGAAGAACTAGATGTTTAAGAAAAAGAGGTGGGAGACTTTTCACTATACACACTTTTAAATGTATACCAGATGAATATATTACTTAAAAATCAATAGGAAAATTTTGCAAACATTTCATTTGTAGACAAAAAGAATATATAGTCTCTAATTGCTGGGAGCATGTCCTACAGTATTAATTCAAGTTGGTCAACTATGAAGCCCACATTTCTGAGACTGTCACTATGATTGTGGTTTTTCAATTTTTTTTCAATTCTCTCTAGTTCTTAAAATAACTATGATAATACTAAAGTCGAGGATTTTAGATGCTTCTTTGGGTCCTGCTGAATCTCCTCCTACAGCTGTTCTCAGATCTGGGCCAAACACATCTGCTGCAGATCCATGACAAAGGATACCAGCTTCTTCTGTAGGTCACCCACAAAATGAGGGTTAGAAGGGATGAGAGATAAACACAGATTCCAGTTTGTCCTCATGGGTTCAAGTTTTCTTTGCTTTTCCTGTTTTGCATACATTTTTCCTCCCCAACCTGTCTTTCTGTCCCACAGAGACTTCAGGACCAGTATACTATGAAGAGTCAACAGCCTTCCACAGACATTTTTA